TGTTCTGATGGATTAGAGTAAAGCATGATGTCCTGACCTGAGAATGTCCATCACATGATGGATGAAAGTTCAGCAGATATTCATCGGTCTCGCGGAGTGGTCCACCGACTACTTATTCGCACAAATCTACAGCTACAACTCCAAGACAATCCTCCTTCGCCTTCGGATGAGGCCAACCAACGAAACCCTAATACTTGTCACTTTAAACTAACTGAAAAGTAGACCAACATCAATGTATTCAGGAATTCTTCAAAACCCAGCCTTTCTACATATCTACGATGCCAGTAAATTGAATAAAAAATCAAAAAACATTTGGCCAAGATATTAAATTCATTAAAAAAAATGTGGATCCTTACTCGCTGTACAGTTGCTGATGCAATTTTGCCAAGACCAGCATTCGCAGTCACGCAGGCTATCGTCCACAGGACCCAAATCTTCATCCCGAAATCTTTCTCGTGACAGTCCCAGACCTAAGCCAGAATCCGATGGTGTCGATTCCGAAGTAGAAGCCAGCCAAAGAGAAGAATTCTGGCGCATCACTTCGTCAAGGACGTCTTCATGATTGGCCTTGGTCTCAGAGTCAGGCCAATTGCGAAGGCGTTCGAACCTAGGGCTATCATATGGCCTGGTAGGGTACGAAGAAGCAGATACTTGCGCAGAAAAATTCGCATTCTTAGTGACATCTATAGACTCTGACGACTGACGGCCGAAGGAAGAAGGTACACCGTCTCCAAGCACACCAAGAGACCTAATTTCCAGGGTATTAGGTAAATTATGTCTGTTTTAAATAATAATTTAATACTCGTGAATATACCATTATTATTTGCTCCTTTTTATTTTTGTTAGTAAATCCGGCCCTGATTTGTATACATAACCCTCATCAAAGAAAAAGTAGCCAAAATCGATTCCAATGTCACTTATATTAATAGACTAATGAGCATATGAGTACAAATAGTAAGGCAAAAAAGCTAAATAAAATAAGCCGTTCTCTTTCCTTAAATTTACTAAATTATTAGACATAATTACAGCAAAACCATCAATTAACACTGTTATTTGATAGGCACATTATTGGATCACTTCAGCACGTTATCTTGTTGGTTTCGATACTTTGTCTTCAAACTATTTTGTTAAAAGACTACTTTCAAAATACCAAGTTGATGACTGAAGGTTACATACATCAAATTCACTAAAGCCTTCATTTTGTGGGATAGCAGGCATTCCTTGTCAAGCATATGTTAACATTTTCGTAACTAATGATTTTGTCTAAAGAGAAAAACTTACTTGCTTATTGTATTGGGATAGAGTGACTTGCTACTCTGCATAACATCCGAAACTCATAATTTCAATTCAAGTACCAATACATGTTAGAGTTGCGGGTACCTTGCCCTCAAAAACTACTCTAAGTAGAAAAATAATAGTCAGATTAATAGTCGGACAATAGCGGAGACAGAAGAGATGTATATTTTGTGATCATCAGCAAAAAAGAGAATCATCTTGCTCGGGGCCATAGCATTCATAGTTTCCATAGAAAAATCTATACCGTTGAGAAGCGTAGGGAAATTTTCTGAATGGAGCCCATAAAATAGAACGGCTTTCTTGGTAAGGATCACAAAATAAAAACTTGTAAGCTATATTGATACTATGGTCAAAATTTGGGAAGGTTTTTTTTAGACGAATTTCGCTAATCCCTAGAAAGTAAAATTCTTAAGATGGCTTGTCCTATTGTCTTATCCTACACTTTTATTCTTTACTCATCAGAGTCAGATGCTTTGGCAAGCTTTCTATGACTACTCGCATGCTGAAGGCATACACGACTGGAGAGTAGCCATTAATTGAAGCCAACTTCTCCTAAATAAATGTTGTCTCTGGACATAGGTTATTTCCTATGTTTCAAAGAAAGTCACATGTTTATCTAATTCGCTTGAAATTTATAGTTCAACATAGAACAGGCGCTTATTCAATTGTAAATTACTTATTTTCTTCACTGTGATTCTTTATATTAATTAAGTGTATCTATTTTCTTGCTAAATATCGTTTCATTTAATAAAGTACACACACATAAACCAATCCACTTCCACCATGTTTTTCTTCTATTCCTGTTCGTAATGTAGTATGAGGAATTCGATAGAATATAATTAAATCTATAAAAAGTAGTGATTGCACTTCGCAAGGCACGGAAGAACTTCGTGCTGCAAAATACACAGTTT